CCTTTGGAGGTTCAGAAAATACTGGAACGACACTTTGGGGGGTCAGAGAAGGCTGGATCGACCCTTTGAGGGGTCAGAGATGGCTGGAACGACCCTTTGGAGGGTCAGAAAATACTGGAACGACCCTTTGGGAGGTCAGATAATATTGGAACGACCCTTTGGGGGTCAGAGAAGGCTGGAACGACACTTTGGGGGTCAGAGAAGGCTGGAACGACCCTTTGGGGGGTCAGAGAAGGCTGGAACGACCCTTTGGGGGTCAGGGAAGGCTGGAACGATACTTTGGGTGTCAGAGAAGGCTGGAACGACCCTTTGGGGTCGTTCATCATCACTCACATTATCAGGTTATCATCACTCAACCAGATGTAATATGTGAGTGAATTGTGTGAAGTCATCACACACGAGGTGCAACACGTGACAGCCGGATATGTGTTTACTAAGACCGAATAAAATACAATTGTGTGTGTGTGTGTGTGTGTGTTGTGTGTGTGTGTGTGTGTGTGTGTGTGTGTGTGTGTGTGCGTGTGTGCGTGTGTGTGTGTGTGTGAAGCCGACACACACACACACCCGCACCGTCATGACTGTCACACAAACCAAACAAAACTCTCGACCTACAGTAAACTTAGCCGGAACAAGTTGGGCAACGTCCAGCAAGTTGATGGTTCCCAATTGACCAAAAAGTTGCCTGGCTTAAACAAGTTTGTCACTTGCTCACTTACCAATTATGTTCTTCCCAACTTAGGCACTTCTGCCATGCCTCGCCCAACTTACGTAGGTTTCTGTTTTCAATATATAACAGAACTCATCAGTCGCGAACGACACGATGGTCATGAATGACTGAACGGAATGACTGAAAACATAAGGAAAAAAATATCCCGTCTGCGGTGGAAAGTTGAACGAAGTTTGACGACTTGAAAAATGTAACTACCTAAGTTGATGGAAACTATGACCTGAGACGGCGTGGTGGTGGTAGTCGAGGTCACCTGAGTCAGGTGACCTCGGCCAGGGTCATCATATTGACTGACGTCATTGACAACCGTGCCAAAACTATTCAGTCAATGGGAGACTCTGACCCCCAAGCCAGGACATATACACGAGTCTAACTCAACCAATTAAATAATCAATCACATCACTAATCTATTTAACACGAAACAACGAAAGCAATTAAGGGGGTAATATCTCTATATTTTATTATGCTCTATTCAATTATATTTCTGTTTATGGAGAATTTACAAGAGATAACATCCAAAGGCCCGAGTGCCACAACGTCAGAAAAGCTGTCACTTGTAAAGCCCTCATTGACACAAAAATAACACAATAAAGCAGCTTTAGCACCGGAATGTACAAGCTTAATGCTTTTTCAAAAAGAAATGACAACAATGTGATTTATCTATGGGAAAAAGGTGAGGGTTTTAAAATTGGATCGAACCTGCGTCCCTGGATATGCCAGGCGCACATGCACTACCAACTGAACCATGATGGGGCTACACGTAATTGAACACAGAAGTCTTACAAGACTTATATGGCATCTTTCGCACCAGAGTTCGAGTTTTTACAAGGTACCCGCTCACACTGGTACCCGCCCACACTGGTACCCGCTCACACTGGTACCCCGGTACCCGGTACCCCCACCTGGTACCCCGCCCCACACTGGTACCCCGCTCCACACTGGTACCCGCCCCACACTGGTACCCGCCCACACTGGTACCCGCCCACACTGGTACCCGCCCACACTGGTACCCGCCCACACTGGTACCCGCCCACACTGGTACCCGCCCACACTGGTACCCGCCCACACTGGTACCCGCCCACACTGGTACCCGCTCACACTGGTACCCGCCCACACTGGTACCCGCCCACACTGGTACCCGCTCACACTGGTACCCGCTCACACTGGTACCCGCCCACACTGGTACCCGCTCACACTGGTACCCGCCCACACTGGTACCCGCCCACCACTGGTACCCGCCACACACTGGTACCCGCTCACCACTGGTACCCCGCCCACACTGGTACCCCGCCCCACACTGGTACCCGCTCACACTGGTACCCCCCCACACTGGTACCCCGCCCACACTGGTACCCCGCCCACACTGGTACCCGCCCACACTGGTACCCGCCTCACACTGGTCCACCCCGGTACCCGCTCACACTGGTACCCCCCGCTCACACTGGTACCCCGCGCCACACTGGTCACCCCCTCACACTGGTACCCGCCCACACTGGTACCCGCCCACACTGGTACCCGCCCACACTGGTACCCGCTCACACTGGTACCCGCTCACACTGGTACCCGCCCACACTGGTACCCGCCCACACTGGTACCCGCCCACACTGGTACCCGCTCACACTGGTACCCGCCCACACTGGTACCCGCTCACACATTATGAGAAGAATCAAGACGGATGAAGATACAGATTTCTGTGTGTGTTGGTCAACTAATATATTGATAGTTTCCAAGTGTTGAATTTTTGTCAGTGAAAGCATTACATACATAATGCGACGCGGAGGAGTCGTGATCCCGACGTCCATGATATCCGTGTGCATCAACTTTGTGTTTTCTAATTTCACCTCAAAAGTCCACATATCTTGTTTTTGAAGCTTATAATTATCCTTTGATCTTACAAGATTTCCTTTACCTTCTTAATCCTCTTAGTGGCTTGGTGATACTGAGCCTGGCTTGAGGCAATGGGCAAAGACGTTCCAGGAGTTGAGCTTTATGGGTGAGTGTGTGTGGGTGAGTGTGTGTGGGTGAGTGTCTGTGGGTGTGTGGAGGTCACCTCTTGATCACCATGTCTCTTATGTGGTCTGTTAAGGTGTCACACCCCTCACCCAATATGTTAAGGTCACACCCTCACCCAATATGTTAAGGTCACACCCTCACCCAATATGTTAAGGTCACACCCTCACCCAATATGTTAAGGTCACACCCTCACCCAATATGTTAAGGTCACACCCTCACCCAATATGTTAAGGTCACACTCTCACCCAATATGTTCTTGATTGCCCGTTGATTAATGAATATAGAAACACTTGCCAATTATTTGCTGAGATTAAGAACTGTTCCTGAGCAAATAGCCTGACTGTCTCACAACGGAATGACTGATGATATTTTGGAAACATATAAGAATTTTCCACCAAGATTGAAACCTTTTGTTGAATGGTTTGAATGTCTATTGCAAATTATCTGTGTACCTAGTTATACAGGTATTTGTGTGTATATCTGGTAACATTCTGTATATGTAAATGAAGAAATGTATATATATATCACGTAGAATGTTCGGTACAATGTTTATTGTTTGTGATATGTCCCTTATCATCCCTTTGTGTGTATTTATTCCTCAATAAACTGATTTCAATTTCAATTTCAAATTTCACCAGCAGGAGGCGATGTGAGGCCTGCCTCGGAGACCGGCTGACATTGAAGAAATGAGTTTGGGATCTCTGCCACAGACATGACCACAGATTTATACAGTGCTGTCCAGAATATATAAATTCCATTCTATCATCCTTGGAAAGGGTTCGAGATTTCTTAGACAACATGTAATGCTGCGAGTTACTGAGGACTAAGAAACAGAAGGTAGATAATGTGCTTTGACATGGTAAATAGCCTAAGTTCTGTCCGTCCTGCATAGGCGGGGGATTGATTCGCGTTGACAGGAGGCGGGGACAAGAGCTGAAGTACGGTGGGCGGGGGTGAGGGTGTGAGGCACGAGCAGTGGGTGGAGGAGGAAGGTAGGTAGGTAGAGGGAGGGAGGTGGGTAGAGAAGGTAGGTGGAGGGAGGGAGGGAGGTAGGAGAGAAGACCAGTGAGAGACTCAGGCACCTGTACCAAGCCGCTCCAGTGAGCGGTTTGCCCGCGTAGTGAGAGGACGTGTGACTGCGGCTCCGACCTACAAAACCTCCCTACCGCAGTTCGAACCCCCGTGGGGGCTCTGCCAGTGTGCGCCCCCCAACCCATCTAGGGCAGGTGGGCATGGCTTGCCCATGTGCCCTCAGGGTGGTGCCCCAAACACACGTGAATGATGTTATTTCTGTGATTATACCAGTGTGAATGACGTTTCTGGAATCTCTCACATCTTAATTGTCGAAGATGATGCTGTGAATTAATGACTAGTGCAGAGAGTTCACTAATTATCTACTTTCTACGTCGTTGTGATGGCTCTCGTAGTTACGATCATGAAGGAAAATGATATCAATATGTATTAAAGAAATTCAAGATAGCGGAAGTTTAAGACAAATTTATTTCTCAACGTTAAATTGTTGTATTAACTGGCGTTGAGAGACTTGGAGGCAGGAAGTGTTAGCATAGATGACAGAGTGAAGGTTTGTTCCTGTCCACCCCCTGCCTCCACCCAGCTGTCCGTCCCCTGCCTCCACCCAGCTGTCCACCCCCTGCCTCCACCCAGCTGTCCACCCCCTGCCTCCACCCAGCTGTCCGTCCCCTGCCTCCACCCAGCTGTCCACCCCCTGCCTCCACCCAGCTGTCCGCCCCCGTCTCCACCCAGCTGTCTGAAACCTGCCTCCACCCAGCTGTCTGACACCTGCCTCCACCTAGCTGTTTGTCCCCTGCCTCCACCTAGCTGTCTGAAACCTGCCTCCACCTAGCTGTCTGAAACCTGCCTCCTCCCAGCTGTCTGAAACCTGGCTCCTCCCAGCTGTCTGAAACCTGGCTCCTCCCAGCTGTCTGAAACCTGCCTCCACCCAGCTGTCCACCCCCTGCCTCCACCCAGCTGTCCGCCCCTACCTCCACCTAGCTGTCTGAAACCTGCCTCCACCCATACCTTCACCCAGCTATCCGCCCCTACCTCCACCCAGCTGTCCACCCCCTGCCTCCACCCAGCTGTCCGCCCCCTGCCTCCACCCAGCTGTCCACCCCCTGCCTCCACCCAGCTGTCCGCCCCCTGCCTCCACCCAGCTGTCCGCCCCCTGCCTCCACCCAGCTGTCCGCCCCCTGCCTCCACCCAGCTGTCCGCTTCCTGCCCCCTCCCCCGCACCTCTCACCCATCTTAACTCACTCTACGACCCAGCTGTTCATCGTGCTGCTGCTGCTGCTCACACCAGCTGCCTGCCTCTCACGTTCCAGCTGCCAGCCGTATATTTGAAGGTAAGTGATAGGAAAGGCGGGCGCAGGGTTGAGTGATTAGAGGTCAGAGGTCACTGGTGTTGGGGATTAAGCAACAACCACTTATACAAGCTTAAATAATGCTCCTCTTAAGCGGTGGTTGAAAATGTGGTTCACTTTGAAGACATAAGCAGCTGGTGCGTTGGTTATGTTAGGTTAGGTAAGATTGGGAGTTTTCCTATCAGAGGATAAATTCTGTATTCACCTTGAAGTCAATAGGGGGATGGGGTGAGGGTTAGGTTAGGTAAGATTGGGTTTTTTTCCAATCAGAGGATAAATTTTGTATTCGCCTTGAAGTCAATAGGGGGATGGGGTGAGGGGTTCACCTATGTGTGGGATACCAATGTGATACATTATAAATGGGTGGCTAGATTGGAGCAACAATACAACACAATCAGGGAACAATTGTGTTCCCTGATTGGGCTGATTGTTCCCTGATCCCTATAGTGGGCGCCCAGTATAGAAAGGAGAACACAAGATGGCCATCAGTGATTAACGACAATTAACTTAAACAAGTTAAGGTAACGCGATATGACCGTCTATAGAGCCTATTAGGCGGTCTAAATTGGCAAAGTTTCCAGCTTTACAGGCAAACTTTCTTGTGGACGAAAATTAAGTTGCATTTAAAGTTATACAAAGCCTTCATGTATACATGTATACAGAGAATACTCAGCCAGGGAGGTGCTGGGAGCCTCAGATGGAGACTAAGTAACCACTTCAACCACGTGGTATATAGTTCTTAAGTGTCGGAATAATGAAGAAGCAGAATGCATTAAGAAGCCGTAGAGGCAAACTCTGAAGAAAACTTCAAATGAAGAACTCCCGAAACCCGCTCCAGGTATGTTCCAGATATGTTTAGAAGCGAGGCACAAGAGCTGTGGCTCATCCTCCAGTAAGGTCAGCTAGGTGGGAATAACACACACACACACACACACACACACACACACACACAACAGTTAGGGAGCACATGATCACCACATTCAAGATTCTCAAGGGAATTGATAGGGTAAATAAAAACAGGCTATTTAACACAAGGGGCACACGCACTAGGGGACACATGTGGAAACTGAGTGCCCAAATGAGCCACAGAGATATTAGAAAGAACTTTTTCAGTGTCAGAGTGGTTGACAAATGGAATACATTAGGAAGAGATGTGGTGGAGGCTGACTCCATACACAGTTTCAAATGTAGATATGATAGAGCCCAATAGGCTAAGGAACCTGTACACTAGTTGATTGAAAGTTGAGAGGCGGGACCAAAAAGCCAGAGCTCAACCCCCGCAAGCGCAAATAGGTGAGTACATGAAAATAGGTCGGGAATCGCGGTTATAGAGGCGGGACCCAAGAACTAAAGTAGTTTGATCATGCATGCACAAATGATGAATACTCAAACGTTCAAAAATCTCAGTGAAATTGATATGGTAGTCTAATACGGATTATTTAGAAGACGAGATATACTTGCACGAAGGGACACAGCTGGAAACTTGGTACGCAAATGAGTCACATTGAAAACCTTCTTTCTAATGCCAGTGTTAACAAATGGGAAGCATTAGGAAGTGATGTGGTGGAGGCTAACTCTGTACACAGTTGCGATATTGAATGATATTGAGAGCTTTAGCGGTTGTCTGAGGAAAGTGTTTGTTTTGGAGATATAAACTAAATTTGAACAGTAACTTCAGTGTAGAAAGTGTGTGTGTGTGTGTGTGTATGTGTGTGCGTGTGTGTGTGTGTGTGTGTCAGGAATATTTATGTTATGAAGAAGGCTTGGGGGATAGTGCACTTAATGTGATGGGATGGCATCTCTGCTTCAACATGCACACACTAACGCCGCTGGCAAAGGAGTACATATAGGTTTATATACTTCCACACACACACACACACACATATTATATATATATATATATATATATATATATATATATATATATATATATATATATATAACTATATATATACGAGAGTGTATATATATAGAACACTTTATGATATGACGCGTACCCTAGTAGCCAGAACGTAGCAACTTCTCAGCCTACTATGCAACCTGCCTGAAGAGGGTTAAGGCGTACCTAATATGCCAGTTTTCATGGAATTAATCTGTGCTTTTCGCGTACCTAACCTGCCTACCTAACCTCACTTTTTCGGCTACCTAACCTAACCTATAAAGATAGGTTATGTTAGGTTAGGGACCCCTACTGGTTGGTTAGGTTCAGTCCATTTATCTACTCCGAATTAATTTTAACTGAGCAATAAAAAAAAAATTGTACCTCATAGCCATTTGCTGAAATGGGTAGCTTTCGAGTCTTTTCATAAGACTAAAAATATAGAATATATATAATATTCAGGAATATACTTGGCTTATAGGCAAATCGGGCCTTGCATA